CAACTCATCCACCCACTTATGAGTTTTGTGCTTTTCTTCTTGCCACAGGAAGAATGTAACATTCTTCTGTTATAAGTCTACTTTTTATCCCCATGATTGTGAAGTGAACAAGGAATAAACCATTTTTTTATGCCAAAATAGACAGATTTTTTGGACGTGTAGCATTTCTCTTCTAACTGAGACAAGTTCTGTCGTGGTTCTGCTTTCCCTGTCCAATGGTTTGGTTGTGCGTTTGACTCATGGAAAGTGTAATGGCTTGGTGTATATGATTCATAAATTATTTGAGATTTTGCTGCTCCAAAATTTGAACATAAATTTGGCAAGGTTTCTGGTGTAGTGGGAAAGTTGGGCTCTACAAACTTAAAGCTGTATGTTTGAATTCTGCCTTTTGAGGGTTTATCCCTTTTTTTTTTCTTTTTTTTTTCTTTTTTTCTGTAATTTGTTAGTTGAGGAAAAGTGTTTGTTGACTTCGCTTCAAAAAAAATTAAGGGAAAAAATGTTACAAAATTATATCATTTTAATACCTTGTTTGTTAGACTAAAATAACCTATTTTTTATTGTTAAACCAAGAATGAGTTTGTTTTGATCTCCTTGATGATAATTTATTAAGATAGTGTAGTTTTGAAATAAGATTTTTCTAGCATGTACTCTTAGAATAAAGATTAAAGATATAATTATAATACTTTTTATATTAATTAGAATTAAAAAAAAGAAAAGAAGAGAAAAGTTGACATTTATTTAAACAATTGCCTAATTAAAATGATTTATGTGACATTGATGGTGAAAATAATAATAATTTTTATATTTTTTAATATCAATTAATGCTAAATAAAATATAATAATTATAACTTTAATACGTAGTTAAAAGAACATATTAAAAAATTCTTTAAAAAATTCTTCTTCCTAATATTTTTTGAAACTCGGATGAGAGGTAAGTTTTTGTTTTTAGAGAATTATATTAGTTGAAGCTAAACGGATTGTAACCTGCACTAGTACTTGGGAGTTGGCCCAGTATATTTCACTATCATGATTCATAAAGCCCAAAAAGCATCATTCCTAGGCCGAACCCAAAAAAGCATCATTATTCGGGTATTTTACTGCGAGGCCCACCCAATTAGTTGGACTTGAGTTTCATGCTCCTCCCTCCAGTGTCCGTCCTCCTTCCTTCCATGTTCCGACAGTCGAAGACAGCAAACTGAAAATTGGGAACGGAAAAACGGACGGCGGCCGGTTACGACCAAGTAGTAACTAGTAAGCAGCATAGAGCACACAGATGGCTTCCGGCTTAGCGTCCCAATGTCTTCTCACCTCTCAGTTAATCGATGTAGTTTCTTCATCTTTTTTCCTAGTGGGTATTGGTGTGCTTAAATTTGCCTTTTGGTAAATTTCATTGATTCTTGATTAATATTAGAAAACACTCAACAAGAAATTGATTCAGAAAAATTGTTCTTTGGTGATTGTAATGTCCAAGTTGGAACCTGAATTGAGGTTTGGCAATAACCCCTCTAGTTATTGTTCTCTAGTTTTTTTGTTTTGTTTTTTTTTTTTTTATGCATGTGATTATGGGCTATATAACCCTCTCCTATTCCCAAATACATCCCCACCCAATTTAAGGCTTCCAACTTGGAGATCAAACGAGCTTAACGTTGAGCCACCCCATTGGGGTTTATTGTTCTATACTTGATCATCTACTACAGTTAAAAGTTTTCATTTTGTGTAAAAACAGGGAAGACTTAACTGAAGTGCTGCATTCAGATTGTGGTGACTGGTGACTGCTAAAATGTTGGCATTTGAAGAAAAAACCGTATTTTTTCACCCTTCCAGATGAGCAATTCTTCCATACAACATGATAACTTGTTAGTGGTATCCCCATCTACTAATGTGTAGCCCCCAATATCCCCGTTGTATGGAAGAATTTCTCCTTATTGGCATGAATCGTTGCCTTATAAATGCAGTCTTGATCTGTTAAATTGAATGCAACATGTCTTATTAGGATCTCCTACTAAGAAAGTGCAAGGACACAGTCGTTCCTTATATCATGTACCCTCACAGATTAAACTTCTGCGGTTTGTTCCTATCAAAGAGAGTGCAAGGCTGCAGTCATTCCTTATATCTAATTAAATTCACTCTTGCTAAACGCAGGGTCTGATTTTTCCTGTTTGCTATTATCAGGATAAAATTTCCTACTATTTTGTTCATGCTGGTTGGTTCTTGTCTAATGTATCAGATCTTTTCTCCCAGAACTTGAACTGAAATGCTCTATGCTCCAGCATCTTCTCAATCTCCTCAATGGGCAGCCCCTTTGTTTCAGGCACACAGACTAGGACAAAGATTAAGGCTACCAC